CAGCGGTTACAAACATTTTTGTCTCTTTAGTTTTCCATGCAATCAGGCAAGAAATCGGCGTACCTTTAATTTCCAGAGTAAGACTGACAGGAGTAGAAAATAACAGCAGATAAGCTACAGCGAAAAGAACAAGTGACACGAGGAAAATTTTCCATGATAATCGTGACTTTGTGCAACCGAACGTAAAGGTATCGAAGATTTCCATCGGTGCTTTAACGCGGAGATTCAGCAACAAATTGCAGCTGCGTTTTCGACTCAGCTACAGTCCGATAAAGCGCGTAATCTTTGTGTAAACAGGGCCAAAAAGATCAACCTGATAAAGAATCTGCGGAAAGTTTTTACCGGACAAACACGCTATGAGATAGGCATAGGCTTTCGCCGCAATGAAAGCCTGCTGGCCAATGGTAACAAGCATCACAAAGAAGCCATAGCCAATTCATGGCCAATGTCGAGAGAAATAAGGGCAGCGGTACGTCAGCGCAAATATGTCATCAAAAACTTCAACTAGAAGATACACAGGCCCTGTTGAAAAAAAACAGTGAGAGAAAGCTCGCAACATTTTTAGCAACATTAAAAGTACATGATGTAGGTTTAAACCTCTTTTGCTCTTCATAGCTTTGTCGCCGAAAGATGATTTAATTCGCTCTGCTGTGACGAGTGAACAGCCCATATTGCTCAATCAGAAGCTTTTGTTTTCGCCACGTCCTTACGAAACGGTTTGCGCCAACCAAGTACAGAGTACGTGGAGCAGAAGAACGCCCCTGCAATCTCTCATCCCGTTTTTTAGAATAATGGGATAACTTCGCTAAATCAGCGCATCGCTCATTTTTTAGAATACAGGAAACAAAACCCGATAAATCCCATTCATCCAGTAAATCCCATCGCGATGCAAGATTGTCTTATCCAAGATTCTTATCTCATTAATCACTCTGAAACGCAGCTACAGACTATCGTCAGGGTCTATAGACTGGCTTTAATGATAAGAGGAAACGCTTGTTACTGGATGAAAGACCTTCAACCGAACCATTCATTCAGGAGTTACTTCATTTTCGCCTGCGCAGATGATGAATGGCTCCTAACAGAACTTTATACTCTAAATGTGATTGCATTTTCTTTCCAAATTATTTTCGATGACTGTTAGAAGTAGTCTGCACAGACAGAAAACCAAACTTAACTTCCGCTGTTACGTACATTTTCAGGTAAACATTCTATTAATCCTCAAGCATGCGTCTCAGGTTGCTCAGCCAGCATATGTCTGAATTCAAACTTGGCAGATTCTAGGTGCGAGCTCTGAACGGGTCATTCGCCTTTTATCCTTCCGAGATCGATAAATTAGTGGCACCGTTTCGAGGGAGAGAAAAAGCACACTAGGGGCTAAATTGGTTACGAGGGCGCAGATGTAGCCTTAAAAGAGAATAAAGCATCGCTGGCTGATGGCATAAAAACAAAAAATATGACAGCCATAAAATTCACGGAAAGAAGGGTGTCATAAATGACGCGCTTAATGAAAATGTAAGGAAAACTGATAACCAACAAACGTTGTCTTTTGTAATTTTAAGCGTGCATCCATAAGGTAAATAACATCGAACAATTTGTAAAAAATATCAAGTAACAACGAAACAGAAACTCGAGGACACAAGAAGTGTGCAGGAAATACTGCGCACTGTTGTTAACTTCTGGACGTAGGATATTATATTCGAATACCTATAATGTCAAATGGAAATTTTAGTGGAACAGCGTTGGATAAATGTTTCTGTCTTAACTGACTTCAAGGATCTGTATCTACTGACTGCCCCTGCAGAGACTAGTATTTAAAATTTTCTTTTAATTAACGTATAAATTAAATTTTTAACCCATTCATCTACTTTCAGAACCCGCATTTCCTTTCGGGCCGACGAGGCAGCGCACTCAGTAATTGTCGATCATGAGCCAAGGAATCGACCTCCGGTGGTAAGTTCAGAACTCAGACGCTGAGATCGTTGATGTACTTGTACCTAGTCTTTCTAAGGCTTCCTCGGTCTTCTGTTGGTCGGTCTAGGTGAGAACAGTTTCCTGACGACTTCTTTCTGACGACATTCTAAAGACATGGCCGATGCTTCTCAACTGCGATTTTTTACTGTTCAGAAGTAGCTGCTCGATCAATACGAAGTTCCAAATTTTGTCCAAACATTACCGCAATGATCCTTTCGTGAAATTCCATCTCGGCCTTTGTACTCCTAAACTCATTTTTTTGGTCCCTAGCCAGGCTTCATGATCATATGTGATGATAGTGAAAAATCGTCCTGAACGCGGCAAGCTGTGATTGAAAACAGCCTCGCATTTGCCATGACGGTCTGATACAGTTTATGTACTGATCCACTCGTCACGCTGATTCGTCAATCGATCTCTTCGCACCATCTTCGATTACTCGTAAATGGCGAGATAGCAAGCTGTGTATCCTGAACAAAAAACGAAAAAGTACAAACTTTAAATTCTACACTTTAATCGATTAAATCCCTGAACCTCGATGAGCAAAACACAAGTAACGCAATAAAAATAACAAACCAAAACATAATTAGATCAACAAATTTTTTTGAAAGT